AAAAAAAAAAAAAAAAACAGCCCCCCCCCCCTTCCAAAAAATGCCCCCCATCCGCCCCTCCTCCCAAACGCAAGCCCCCCCCCGACGGCTTCTCCGACATAGAAGAAGACTTCCTAATCTTCTCCAACAAGATGAAAGACGCCCAAAACGCCCCCTCGGACAACATCCCCAAGCACCAAGCCCAATGGCCCATCTTCCAAATCTCTCACCAGCGCTCCCGCTACATCTACGAGCTCTACTACGAAAAGGAGGCGATATCCAAGCAGCTCTACGACTGGCTCCTCAAAAACGGCTACGCCGACGCGGCGCTCATCGCAAAGTGGAAGAAGCAGGGGTACGAGAAGCTGTGCTGCCTGAGGTGCATCCAGACAAAGGAGACAAATTTTAACTCTACCTGCGTGTGCAGGGTGCCGAGGGCGCAGATGAAGGGGGAGGATAGGGAGGTGCAGTGCGTTAGTTGTGGGTGTAGGGGTTGTGCTTCTACTGACTGAAAGCGGGAAAAGGGATGGACGGGGGAGCGATGAAGGGGAAAAAAAAAACAGGAGGAGGATATAAGTGGGAGAACGGAAAAGGCTAACAATGGAAGGAGATCAAAGCAGATCAAGCTGCGGATGGAGACCAGAGATCAGGCCGACGCAACGATAGAAAGCATTCAGCGGGGAGGATATAGCGGTTTTCTAGAAACGGGGATACTAATAAGGTTCCTATCGCACACATAGCGACATCATTCTGGGCGTTTTTGGAAAGGGATTTGAGACTGTAAGGCACCCCCACATGTACAGTGCGTTTCGTTTTGATGCTAGGGTGTTGGAAGCTCACATATCAGGCAGGAAACATCATAGCATCATAGAGGCGATCACTGGGTTGTTTAAATCATGAATATAATGAGAATCTCGATTAACTGTGTACAATATTCATCTCTCTGCGAGTCTCTTGTTTATCATACTTGATCCCACTGGGTATGTGACGGTGTAACCTCCTCCAACCTGCCTTTGTGTTATTATGCTGAAACAGTGTCCAACTTGGAGTATAGTAAATACTATCGTTTCGCGAAACCGGCCCTTTTGCCACGGCCAAATCGTACGCCTCTTGGCACGAACTGAAGAGCCGACATGGCAGTCGAGATGTCATCCATTTCCACATCAGGCTTGCGCTCAGAACTAGCAGGTTCAACTTGCATCTCGTTATCCTCGGGTTTGGCGGCTGCTGACACTGGCTTTTCTGTGTTGACAGGTGGCGTGCTGTCTTGGCTGTGCTGCTGTTGAGATTCTGAAGAGACAGGCGCAAGACTCGGCCTCCTGTTGCCGTTGCTGTCGGTTTTCTTATCACTGCCCTTCTTGTTCTCATCAAGCAGCAGCGACCGTCGCCCATCAATACCATACCGCGTGACCCCAAAGAAGAAGTTCTTCGGGTACATGTGCTTGGCGATGAGGTGCATCTGCCTCTTTTGTGGCGTCATACAGACTTTATCGCAGGTTTCTACGAAACAGGTGTACTACACGAGTGAAGTTGACGAAACAAATGGTTAGACAGTTGACACAAACCTTGTATGAGAAGTGATCGGCTGAGATGAGGAGAATTGGGGTTAATGAATTGGGATATCTGGGTGTTTGGTAAGGGGTGAGCATGGGGACTTACTGTGCGCTCTCCCTTGTCTCGCTTGACTTGGCTGAAGGCATCGTGATTTTCACTGATGTGCAAGCTGAGGAGATGGGAAGAAGGAAAGTTTTTGCGGCATTCGAGGCAGCGGTTGGTGTGCTCGTTGCGGTAGTGAGATTCGTATTCTTGGTAGGATGAGAAGGTGATTGGTTCTTTGTGCGGTGGGAGGGAGCAGGGCATGGGATTGTTGGTCTTGGTGGTGGTGATGAGGGAAGGATCCAACTCGGTGATTTTGGCTGCTGGCACTTGGGTGGCTGTAGGATCTGGTTCGGAAGTAGCGGGGACTTTGGTTAGAGGTTCGGATCCGTTGCTGATGCTGAGGAGAACAGTAGTGAAGGCTGAGCCCGGATCTGCGGGTGCCTCGTCATACTCCCTTGCGCGTTTTCCCATTGTGTTTGATGCAGCCGACAATCTAGTTGGTTTGTACTGATGACTGTCAGGACTTCTTTGCAAGCAAGCCGTGTTGATTGATACCTAGATACTTTTATGGGAAAAAGCATCACGAATCCCTCGCCGAATGACGATGTCGATAAAGCTTAGGCTGGCACGGACCTTTTTAGGGTCCGAGCGGCGTGGAATGGGCGATTGGCAAGTGGATCCAACACAGCGCGCCTGGCTTATTACGTGTTGGTGATTGGCTGGCTATGTTTCTTGAAGCAATGATCCGTTTCTTCTTGAGCGGCATGGGTGTTGTGCTTGTCAGCTTGTCCAACGTCAAATCACGAGTGGGCAGAGACGTTGGCGGGTCGTCTGTGAATCCCTTCGTTTTCTCGACTTTATTTTTTGCGTTTCACCTGCGCAACTCCGAAAATCTCAACAAACGTTTGAGGTTCCAAACTTGTTGCCCTTGCCTTCCCGCACAAAACTAGACTGGCGCCACCGAGTGGCAGTCATCATATTCCGTCGTTTTTCCCCCATCTCCAATGTGCTCGTCACCTGCTGTCACTCTGCCAGCCGCAAGCCGCAGCACCCCTCCTCGCAGACCCGCCAGACAGAGCCAGACAAGTTATGGATCGGTCGCAGAGGTTCGGCTCTCCCAACACCACGCATGAGCATCGCCCTTGAGCGCGAGCTCTTTTACAAACCCGAAACCCGGCCTTTTCGCCGCAAACTTTTCCCACACCATACCCCGCGATAGAGCCATCGTTGCGACCATCCCAAGATCCCGACACCGCACAACAAACTCGCGCAACCATGGCCACGCCGGCTGCTGCGATCACCGTGGGCACCACCACGGCCAAGATACCCGAGATTGATGAGGTCTGGAAGTAAGTCGCACAGCCGCCGGAGGAGACATGGGTTTGACTTTGGTGCGAGGGCCTTGGCTTGCTAACATGGAAAACTAGGGCTGCGCAGAAACTCCGTGGTACGATTGTCAAGGAACTGGAGCAGGTACAGGGCAGAGAAGCTGCCAACGAGGTGGCTCGCTTCGAGAAAGTCGAGAAGTTGATGGAGCAGTGAGTCAAAAATTGACTTTTGTACTCGCTCCTGGCTAATTTCTTCAGTTATCGCCTTGCCTGTGTCGAGGTCATCTGGCCCGACTTCCGAGTTACCAAGGAGAAGCACGTCGAGGACACTCTTTGGCAAGTTCACACATTGATCACCAAGGCCTACCGAAAGGTGCTTGGTAGGTTGAACGGCAACGACAATGCCGTACTTCGACGTAGAGTTGAGCGGTTATACGCCGCCTACTTGAAGACTGCGCAGTCCTTCTACAAGGGTTGGCTGCAGAGAGTGTGCGCTCGGTACAACATCAAGGATCTTCAACGCATAGCGCGCGTTATTGGCATCGAGATGTCTGTCCCAAAGGCCCACACGGTTGACGCTGCTGCTCATAGACTGGATGAGATTGTCAGGGACTCGTGCCACAAGACGCTCATCTACCTGGGAGACCTTGCTCGATATCGCACTCTTCTTCGCAACAAGGACCGCAACTGGGATAATGCGCTGTCGTACTACTTTCTCGCGAACGACCTGGCCCCAGAGTCAGGCTATGGCCACCACCAGTGCGGCGTCATTTACGCCGAGGTTGACGATCACTTGCACATCGTTTATCACATGTACCGCGCAATGGTCTGTGACAAGCCGCATCCAAATGCTGCGCCGAACCTTGAGCGAGAGTTCCGCGACATCCAGAAGAAGAGAGGCGGGGATGCCAGACAGGTCTTCATCACTTGGTTTCTGAAGCTTCAGGCCTTCTACTACCAGGGCAGAGAATTCTCTGAGCGTAAGGAACTCGAGAATGAAGTTGACCATCGTCTGGCCGTCGCCATGAAATCAGGCACACTTTTCAAATCGGACCAAGATTTGCTCAAAATCATTCTGATCAACATCACAAGCTATGCCGCTTGCGCACAAAAGGTTCAGGGTAAGATTGTTACTTATACCCCCCAAAGAGGACACAACTAACTGTAATAGACAAATGGACTGAGGAGAGATCTCGCTCATGCCAATATCTGCTCCTTCTCAACATTCGCACTATCCACACCATCTCAAAGCTGCTCCGAGACGAGCTTAACGAGCTGGTCAAACGTCAACCAGTGGAGACCACTCCAGCGCAAGAACAGGGCAAGTTCACGCCCGTCTTCGCCCGCGTCTTGCCTTTCCTGCGCGTGTACATGGCTTGGCTATGCTTCTACAGCACTGAGCTGAAGCAGTACCAGGAGCACTTGGAGCCTCAATTTGGCGACATGTGCAAGATGCTCAGCATGGCCCTGGGTCTCCTCCTGGAGTTCGTAGCAACCGCTCAAGAGCCTGGAAAGATTGTTCCGTGGCGTTTTGCCGAAGACGAGCTCACACTCGGTGTGAACTGCCTCAACGGCCCAGAGTTGAAGGGTTGCCAGCTCTATTGCGACCCGTTTAGCAAGCAACCCAAGCCGCGACGGGATGAGTCCCCTGAGGATGAGTACTCAAACGACGACATTACTTGGAGCAGGATGCTGCACGTTGCGCTCTGTGCTTTCGAGTTGGCGACTCCGGGATCCCCGTTTCCGCTCGTCACTGCTACGGCCTCTTCCAAGGACGCGGAGGGATATGCGACCGTCGTGTACCACGAAGGCCCCAAACACTTACCGCCAAGCGTCCAGAGCCCGCAACCGGCCTCTTCTGCTCCTACAACCACCGCAGCCCCTGCGCCTCCTGCAGCCGTTGCCACGCCGGCTCATGTACCTGCGGAAGTAGTAGCAGTCCCAAGCCCGTCAGACTCTGTTGAACTCTCGGAAGACCAAGAGTTCTATGGAGAGCGATTGCGCCGCGCCAGTGTCATTGCCAAGCACTCTACAAGCAAGAGAAACGCTCAGCCCGCAGCGCAAAGCGAGAGTACCTCTCACTCCGCTGAGGCCATCCGGGCCAGCCAGCCAGCGCAGAACTCAGACTTCCTTCCTATTGAGAATCAGATCTTCAACATCCTTAATGATTTCCTTAGCCCGCCGGAGACTCGCTCTGCCCAGAAGCCCGAAACGCCAACTCGACTGGTCCCCGAGGACAGCACCTCCTACGGTATGGGTTCCTCCACGGCCAATGAGGTCTTCGGTGCTGCTTCATCGAGCCCTGGTCCAAACCCAGGTTCTGCCACGGGCAAGACCTTTCCCACGTTGCCATGGTCTTACTTTTTGGACTCGGGGGCTGGTGGGCCAGCTCAGAAGAATGGTGGAAGTAGTGCAGGATCGAATGGCTGGGACACCGCCATGTCTTCAAGACCGGCCAGCCAAGGCAGTCCAGCCCATCTTGCCGGCAGCCACGGTTTTAACAATCCACTGGCGCACCATCAACACCGCTCTTCTGCTTCAGGCTCGTTCTCCAGGGACCGTGTAAACCAGCTTCAAGGCTATAGCCGTGACCCCTGGCAGCAAACTGGAAACAGCATGGCTTCCCAGGGTAGGACTGCTTCGAATCCTCTTTCACAGCAGAGCATTTGGGGTCCGTCTAGCTCGCCCTTCTCTGGATCGCACAACTTCTCTGCCAACCCGTCCAGCCTCCCTTCAGTCAACAGCGCTATGGGCTTGCCAATGAGAACTTCTGGACTTGGTTACCAGCAAAGCAACACGGCAGCTCGCTCACCTCTCTCCGGCAACCCTCTCCGTGCCTATTCAAATGGTGCGGACGGCGGCCATATCAACCCGCCTCCTGGGTTTGGTGGCAATGCTGTTGCGGCTCTGGCAGACTCGGTTTATACCACCTCTCCCGGCGCGCATGGCCATGGTCATCAGACTTATGGGTACCAGGACGCCATCACCGCCCAGCAGCAGCAGATGCTGGCGATGATGAGAGGCAATGTCAACGCTGAGAACAACTGGAACGGGTTCAACACGGCTTCCAAGCCCTCGCAGACTCTGCCGCCGGGGCTTCAGAACCAGATGTATGGTGGTGCGTTTGCTTCGCAGCTGGGTAACCAGCAGCAGCAGCAGCAGCAGGCTATGCGCAAGGCGGAAAACCTTCCTAAGCGCTGAGAGATGATGTGCAATGGATTCGACTCACATTTTTTGTACGGCTGTTTGTCAACCAACCAGGCCACCCTCTTGTCCTTGTTAGGAGGACTATCCGGGCATCCTTCAACGAGCGGGGCATACCTTTGCCAGCCAGTTTGGAATCCGAATCGACTTGTTCGTCTTCGAGTTCTTCGGCCACAACAAGCGATTGGCCGCGATGATCTCAACTTTGCATACATCCTTGCCTTGGTCAACCTCGTAGAACTTGAGAAGCCCTATCGCCACCGCCGCCACCGACCACAACCATTTTGTCACGGCATCACAGCGATCAGGAAAGGGGATTTGACAGATTGTTCAACATGGCAGGTTGACGCCATGCTATTCGCCACAATATATTTATTGGCCTTTGCCTTTTGGCCCTGTGGTCTTCACCCCTGACCTGGAACGGTCTACCTATTCTACCAAATCTACCCACCCCCCGAAACCTTTCTCATAATGCTCAATATGATGATGCCTGGAGGGAGACAAGGGAAAAAGTTGATTTTCTCCCAAACGCATGACAGGAAAAAAAAGAGAAGAAAATGCCAAAAAAAAACTAAAACTAAAAAAAAACACACATTTCGCTCACACACACACAACACACAGCAACCCGATTTGCCTCCCGTTGTTGAAACCCAGATAGACTGACTCCTCTACCTTTTTTTACACTTTTCCCGATGCGATTTGACCCCTCCAACGCCCTACAAGAAAAAGCAAAGGAAAAGAAGAAAAAAGAGTTCATTCATTGAGTGATCTCCTGGCGGGAGTAGGTCTGCTTGGGGAAGGGGTAACTGGGAGGGGGGAGTTAGCTGAGGTCATTCTTTTGAGTGAGGAGGATTTGGTTTAGGGAAAGTAGGGCTAGGGGAATAAGGGGCAGCGGAAAGTATTCTTCAGTAGCAGCAGTAGTAGTCGTTGCGCTTTTGCTTTTGTGCTCGCAAAAATAACACAGACTGATCAACCGAACTTTTGTGTGTGCTTTTCCTTTGTGCGGGTTGTGCCACATGTAAGGGAAAGAGGGGGGAACAACTTACGAAGGACCCAACTCCTGAATGCTCAGACGAGCCAACCACTGGCCCATGTTGACAGCCTCCTCAAGGGGGTGACCATCAACAATGCCAGCGCAGAAACCGCCAGCAAAAGCATCACCAGCACCGTTGGTGTCGTTGATGAGCTCCTTGGCGAGCTCGTGAACAGGGTACTCCTTGACCTCATCCTCACCCTGAATGGCAACAACGGTAGGCTCGGTACCCTGAGTGATGATAGCCACACGCTTCCGCTGGGTGTTGATCTTGGGCAGGTTGGCGAGCGCCTTGGCGATCTCCTTGACATCCGTCAAACCAAGCCCATGGCTCTCAGAGTACGCAGCCGCCTCGCCCTCATTACCAATGACATAATCCCAATACGGCGCCGAGGCATCGAGCGGCTCCTTGAAGAACTGGCAGATGAAGGGGGCGGACAAGCTCAAGATGAACGGCTTGTTCTTCTCGGCCGCCTGCTTGGCCAGCTCCTGGATCGCGGGGGGGCAGACGGTGAAGTGGTACCCGCCGACGTAGTAGGCCTCTGCGTTCTCGACGAGAGCCCAGATGTCTGGGCGCTTGAGGTGCTCGAGGTCGTAGTGGTTGGCGGCGCCGAGCTCGGTGACCATGGAGCGGTTGTGGCCCGTGATGACGACGCCGCAGCGGCCGGTGGGGATCTTGGGGTCTACGCGGTACTCGACCCGGAGGCCGACCTGCTTGACGGCATCGCGGAGGATGGCGGCGTACTTGTCGTCGCCGGCGCCGCCGAGGTAGACGACAGAGTTGGGCGCGAGGATGTACTGGGCTCCGCGGGCGGTGTTTTGAGCGGCGCCGCCGGCGATGAGCTTGGCGTCGTAGTTGTTGAGGAGGTCCTCGTAGATGGGGAGGTGCTTCTCCTCGGCGAGGATGGCGTCGTTAGGCTTGAGGCCGTATTTTTCGAGGAGGGCCTCGTCGCCAAAGGCTTGGATATCTGGGGGGGTTAGTTTGCATAGGTGTACTCGGGAATAAATTGTAGATATCATATATTGCGGAAGAAGCGGGGGAGGTTGACCGCCCTTGCCCCCCGGAGAGGTCGGCCCCGTGGAATGGAAGCTCCCAGACCAAAATTATGAGCTCAAAAACACAACACCAATGAAAATCGCAACCTTACCAAGAAGAGGGTTCTCCAAGCAGAGCAGTCTGTAGTCCTTGGTGGCTGCCATTGTGATGTATGGGCGGTGTGTGTGTGGTGAAGGAGGTGTGTGGAAGTTCAGGAAAGAATTTGTGTCCCTCTGTTGAATGGAAGTTGGACGGCAGCTTTACAACCCAGAAGGCGGGGCAATAATAAACAGGTGGGGTTGGAACCGGTGCCGCCATCGGACTTTTTAGTGAACCCCCGCGAACCCCTGGTCAGCCCGGAGTATGAAATCTTGGCAGAGGGCCGAAGGGCTGAATATGTCGCCGATCTTATTCGGTGCATGTTACGGAGAAGTGACTTTCTGGAAGGGTTGCTGGTGGCTGACAATGACGGTGCTTAGCATTGTGGTTGTTGTGAGGCCAAGAAAGCTCTCCAAAGCTTGTCCCTAGCATCCATCACCCATCTACTAGCACAGGACAACCACGAAGACAACTGACGTCAGGAGGAAAAGGCAGAGCGTCGTTCACTCATATCGTATTCACCCTCGAATAGATAGAGGGGGTATCATCACCGCAACTAAGGTAATCACCCGGCCAAGTACATCAATGCCCAGTCACGGCTCGAACAGGGAGGAGGCTCTCTCCGCTCGCGTTTGCCCCGAAGTGAAGTGTTTCCTTGATTCCCGAGTTCCCCTGATGCATTGCCGACCTGACCTGACCTGACCTGACCTGACCTCTTCCCCCTGACCAGATAACTTTTCAACAAGCTTTCGTGCCGACCGTCTTTTGGGAATCCTTTTATTTCATTTACGGCCATGATGCTTGCAGAAAAAGCAAGTCCCCCGTCCGATTCGGCAGTCCCGTAACTACAAAGCAACAAAGACCAATGCAATCCGTTGAACCCCTTGCCCAGATGTAGAACCGAGAAACACCCCTTACTCCTTCGTCTTCTGGGTACCACGCAGCAGACCCGTTCTGCGGGCAGCAATGAGACCCGCCTTTTGACCCTGGGCGGCGTATCTGGAAATGGTAGACGCCTTACCGATATGCTGGTGGTTACCCTGTACAAGTGTGTCAGCTCTGCGATACAAACCATGTGGGTTGTCAGAATGGCACTTACACCACCGTGAGGATGGTCGACGGGGTTCATGGCAACACCACGAGTCTTGGGCCATCTGTTGCGCTTGACAGCGAACTTGTGCTTGGCACGAGAAGCCTTGAGGAGGGGCTTGTCGGTTCTGCCACCACCGGCAACGATACCGATCATGCCGCGAGCGCTGGAGCTGACGACCTTCTTGGCGCCGGAGGGGAGCTTGATGCGGGTCTTGCCCTCATCGGGGTTGTGGCCGACAACGGTGATGTAGTTGCCGGAGGTGCGGCCGAGCGCACCACGGTCACCGACCTTCTCCTCGACGTTGGAGACGACGGTACCCTCGGGGACGGAAGCGAGGGGGAGGACGTTGCCGATGGTAAGAGCGGCGTTCTTGCCGGCGTAGATGAACTGGCCGGTGTACATGCCTTCGTTGGCAATGAAGGTCTCGGTGACCTTCTTGAACTTGTAGGGCGAGTTGAACTGAACGCGGGCGAGGGGAGCACCACGGCCAGGGTCGTGGATGATCTCCTTCACGATACCGCGAACGTAGCCATGACGCTCGGCGAAATCGAGAGATCTGAACTTGGCGGGGGCCTTGTTCAGGCGGGTGTTGGCAGTGAAGATACTGCCGCGACCCTTACGCTGGTTGCGGATCTGAAGTCGAACGAAAAGCAACGGTTAGCCGCCATTTCCAATTTCCCAAGATGTTCCCCAACTCTCGATGCCGCCATCAATTTTCTAATCGGTCGGTCGGCGCAACAACTCGCTTTCTCGGTGCCGAATCGAATCTCGTGGTGTATCGAAAAGTGGTTGGAATTGAAGCTGAGGTAGTACTTACGACGCGTCCCATCTTGCCCTGCCTACCTTGGTGATGTGAAAGGGACGGGGTTGACTCGGTGGTTGAGAAAGGCAGAGGTTGCGACTCGAGAATGTCTAGATCAGTGAAGCGATATTTTTGCCAAATTTCTGTGTGGACTGGCCCTGTGCCACAATTGGTTCGCTGTGGCTGTGGGGTGCCCTAACGCGGGGAGCTGTGTGGCTGCCAGCACTTGGGCCACTCAGCTGCCGAGTTTGGCGACCCACTCTGTCAGTTCGCTGACGTAAAGCTGGCTTCTGTATGGCAAGCGGGAGCTCTGTCTTTGACTTCGACGATGAATTCGAGATGCAGGGTCTCAACAATCAAGCTGCAAAACTTATAGCATATCGAGTTTGATATCTCGTATTTCACTTGCAAGATTGTACCATCATTCAGCCACTTCAAATTTCTTGAACAAAGCATCCCCCTCTTCCAATGTGCCCATGGCAGGACCCTATTCTCGTCTCACTCTTTTGATTGATAAACGAGCAAGCCCAGAGCACCTACAGTGTCAGATAGCAGTTGCTGTCATATTCGCACAGTACGTGCAGTGCCTCCAAGATGGGGCGAGTGCCGCCGACCGTGATCTCCCATCATCGTCGTCTCGTCTCCAGAACGCCCAACATCATCAAAATGACAGCACAAACACGCAGGGAATCATCAGCACGACTGCTGACTTAACTTACACACTATTCATGGATCGCTTTGCATTCCTTCTGTCGTCACATTCATGGTTCCACTTTTACTCAATGCTAACGGCGCTGTAGGTGCAAGATATATTTGCCATGAAAAGAGCCAACAGTTTGGCTGTTGCGCGCATTTCTGTCGAATCGCCATGTTTTTTTTCCGGGGGTGAGCATATTGCTACTCCATGGGTTTTGATGTGTGGGACCAGCTGCCAGTGAGAGAGCTGCGGCGCGTTTTATGTCAATCAACCACGATCAAGCGATCGAAGAGTGCAGCCCGATCCATGGTGATGGAGACCACTCTCACATTCACCAAACCAAACGCGGACTCCTCCGCAACCCGGCAGATTGACTGCAAGCCAACTCACTCGATAACTCTCTCCGTTTCTGCTGTCACTATCTCTACTCAACGGTTTCTGCAAGGCTGGTCTTATGTACAAGACTCTGGTCGAACCAGAAAGCCAGTGTGGGATGGCTTATCAGCGTTCTGTCATATCCTGTTTCCTTTCTGATGACCAGTTATGCCTTCATTGCTGTTTCCCGTGATTTTTGAAAAAGCTATTCGACGGTTTGGAATACGCAAAGTTGCTAGTCTTGAAGGTGGGGGTCCCTTCGTTGGCTGTTTGCCGTCTCATGAGGAAGAGGACACCGTCTGGGGAGGGTGCTGGGTGATAAAACACTGGAAGCTGATCTGAGCATATCGCGGTTGGAGAAGTTGGCATTGGTTGGGCCACAACACCAAGGGTTGAGGCGGAATGTGAGGAGCGGGTCATTTGGACAAGCTTCCAGGGCGAGCGAGCCCTTTTGGGCATTGTCGAAACCCACCGTTACCCGCTGCCGGCCGGGTGTACAAGTCAACCCCTTGACCATAACATCAACACACGCAGCCAATGGCTACCTCGGACATCACACAGACCAGCCATCCAGCCTCGTGCCTCACGGGTAGGGCACAATGAGCGGTCAATGAAAAACCTCATCGTCACAAATCGTCTTCGGTTGGATGGAGGGTATCGTCAGTAAGAGGCTCTTGGTGGCTTTCTGGGCACTGTTCAGGACAAGTAGAATGATGGTGATGGAAGGTGGTGATGGAAGCGAGACTGGCTCGTGCCATGAGCTTCAAGCAGGCAGACCGAGGGATGTGGACAAACCGGGCCTGTGCTTGCCACGGCAAGACAACCTGAAGAGGAGAATGCAAGATATATTAGCTTGTCTGGGAGCAAGAGGCCCAGAGGTAACCTTTAGTTTTAAGTTAGCCGACCTATCATGTTCTTTGGGCTCTTGGTGAAAGTAGCAAGGTAGGCTGGGAGGGCCCTGGCCATTATCGCTCGGCCGGTACGTAATTTCTTGCAGCCGATCGACCTTCCTCCATCTTTCTCTCCTACAACCTCCACACCTGTCTGTCGACTTGCGCTTGCTGCCACCGTCCACCCACCTCAGCAAACGCCCATTGACCGACAATAGCGTTCACGCTCAACAAAATGGCCGACGACGATTCTTCAGATCTCTCGTCTATTTCATCGCTATCGGCGCCTCCTAGTGATGATGAGTCTGGTCTCGAATTGACCAAGGAAAAGGGCATTCTGAAGTTCTTCCACAAGATCGACCGCAGCCCTGCCTTGGAGCCCAAGGAGAAGACACCGCCCCGACCCAAGAGAGAGCCATCGCCTCCACACGAATATGTGCTAGCTGACAACCCCGACATCGCTGTACGTATTTCTGCCATCATTCGCGTCATTGAAGCGTTGCGACGCGAAAGATCGCGCACAGCGTGCCCCCCTGCGAGGGCTAGATAGCTGTCCCGCGGCAGCTATGTGGGGGACCAAGCTGACTTTTTTGTGTGCTCACAGTTTATCGTAATGTTCCGCGCCCGATTCACCGAAGCTTTCCCCAAAAGTCTGGCGAACTTTGGACCGCAAGAGCTGGAGCGCGATGTCGTCGATTCTGTTCCTGGCGAGCGCGTCGAGCACTTTTTGTGCGCCGTCTTGGGGCTTTTGCTGAACAGGAAGCAGGATATCAAGTACGTCATTTCCAAGCCGCGGAGGCTATCGAAAACCTATTTGATCTGAACAAACCGCTGATTCCATCCGGTGCATAGGCCTGGCCACTACAATCGCGCGTTGGAGGAGGCTGTTCAGTCGCACAAGGGACAGTGGGCGAGGGATTGGGAGAGCCGAAACCCGCTTTCTGGGGGTGCCACGTTTGCGTCCATGACGCCAGTCCAACGGGTATGGTCTAGCTCTGAAGTCTGCAGTGATCTGCTTATTTTGCTAATCTCTCTCGCCATTGTAATTGCAGCTCACCTTGTTGCGCACGCTTATTCAATGGTCGCTCGCCTCCTCCGATGCGATCAAGTCAATGATCAACCAGCAATACAAGAACCGACACGAAGATGATCGCAACATTCCTCTCAGCGTTCAGGTGTGGGGCGGAGACGGTGACAAGCGCCGGTACTTCTTAATTGAGGGCAACGACGACACTTCCTTCCGTGTGTACAGGGAGAGCAATCCAGCCGGTGTTCACCGGACCTGGTGGAGCGTTGCTGGCAGCATTGAGGAGCTTCAGGCTCTAGCCAACAAGTTGGAGACTCAGGATGGAGGGCCCAAGGCTAGGCAGTTCGCAAAGAACATTCTCAATGCGATTCCTAGATTTGAGGCTACCGAGGAGAAGAGGAGACGCAGGGAGTATCGCCAGATGCAGAAGGAACGGTTCAGGCGGCCAGAGCCTGGTTTCTCTCTATATGAGGGCCGCACCAGAGGCAAGAGGATGAAGTACACATATTCCGACGACGAGGCCGAGTTTCTTACCGATTCCACCAACCACCGATCTACTCGCAACACACGAAACCACACACCGGCCGAGCCAAGTGGTCCAGTCACTACTGCGAGCGGGCGCCAGATTAGAGCCCCTACGAGACTCAACGCAGAGAAATCCAGCGAAGCTCCGAGCGCGGCTACTAGTGTTCAGGGCGATGACACAGAGAACAAGGAGAATGAGCTTGGGTCAAGGGGACGCCCTAGACGCTCTGCTGCTGTCAATCACGGTACAAACGGCTGGGCCGCCAGCAAAAAGAGAAAGAGCGAGGAGTTCGAGTCGGATGCTTCAGACGGAAGCGAGCCTGATTTTGGGGATGACGAAGAGGAGGAGGCCGACATCCCAGACGAGTCTGAAGACGAGGAGGAATTCGAGGAGGATTCGCCCATGGACGAGGATTTGGAGGATCAGGCCGAACCCGGCAGCAAAATCTTCAAATTCCCGATCCGAGTTGCGTTTGATGAGAACAACAAGGTGCGGCAAATTCCTGGCCCGCCCGTGGTTGTTTCACCAAAGAACGCCAGGGCTGCAGCTCGCAGGAATGTGGTTGTGAGTGAGAGCTCCGAGTCGACTGGCGCAGAGGATGAGCCAGAGGAGCCAGAGCCACCGGCCGCTGAGGAGATTATCGCCGTCCCAGCCAAACGCGCCTTGACACCTCAGACCCAAACGGAGACTAATGTTGACAAGTCTGGCGAGAAGGAGGTTAAGACTACGGATGAGGGTATGGCTCCTCCCACGCCCTCGAGCGGGCCAGCCACGGCTTTGGCTTTCCGGGGCAGTCCAGAGAAGCCAGCGCAGCCGCCAATGGCTGCGGCGCAGGCTGTACCAGCCGTGGGCGACATCGAGTAAGGCGACGTCATCAAGGAGGCCGGCTGGTGAACTTGGAGGGTTTTGGCCGATTATTTATTGCGGTATGACGGTGTATGCGGCTCCTGAGGCGGTAGAGAAAGGAGAAGGCGTTTGGTAGATGAAATCGTTTGGGACTGTGATCGCCTGTTATTGGAGGTCTTTTCAAGGAAGCCGGCTCAGCTGTTTTATTTATTTCAGACCGTTTATGTCATACAGTCGGGCAGGCAGCGGGGTTGCTGGGTCAAAAAGCAGGTTATCATGGAGGAAGAGCTTGGTGTTGGGGGGAGGGTTGAGTATGCTGATTAGCTGTTTGTATGTTCTACGAACTGCATGGCTATTCTTGTTAGGAAGAGAAAGAACACTGAGAACATGTATCTTCACAACATGAAATAACTGTTGAACTCTTTGATTTTGCGTCGATGAGATAACCGATATCCATATTCCGTGCAATGCCGTGTGTTGTACGCCTATGACATTATTATATATACAAACCTCTCCCCCTTCTTTCTCACATGGTATCATTCACCCTTCTACCTCCTCTTATACCCCCTCTCCCCGGGAATCGGCCAGTTATTCACACCCCACCACCATCGCCTCACCCGCGCACCCAGGCTCTGCCCGCTGAGCTGGGCATTTCTGTTCCAATGCTGCCAACCGCAAATCGCGAGGTTGTAAGCAACGCCTTGAACGAGAGGCATGATCATCTATTTTGTCCCCCATTAGCCCCACTCCCCCCTACCGTCTGTTCCCCCCGACTGGAGCTCACCTGATCCCTCGCCGTGATTAGAGCGATCTTCCACCAGGTATCCGCGTTTTTGATGCTGGCGAGGTAGGACTGTTCAAACCTGAGGTCGGGGAGCGGGGGGAGGTGATGGCGGGAGACGGGTTTTATTTTGCGGGAAGAGGAATGGGGGTAGTCTTCATCGTCGTCGGAGAGGTCGGATAGGTCGGTTTCGGGGTCTGATGTTGAGGAGATGTGGACGGGAGTCTTTTTGGAGGCGGCGGTGGATGGGTTGGTGTCGTGGGCGGCGGAAGGGGAGGGGTTGATGTGCGAGGTTTGGAGGGTTTCGGCTACCTGGAGGGGGAGGGAGTCTGCCATGGTGGACAACAATGGACGTGTGTGAGGGAAGAAAGGGAGCTTGTTTGTGATAGTGGGGGGTGGTGGTGGTTCATTGATTGGGAGACGGGACTACACTATGGATGGGGGAAGTTGCATCATAATACTAAGGTGGTCATAGCTTTGTTCCACTTGCTGGTAGTTAAGTGGATTAGTGCTTAGTGTAGTAGTAATGCTAGGTTGTCTAAGGGTCAGCCGGAAAGAAGGCTGACAGGATGTGGCTGAGGCTCTTCTTGATGAGTCTTCAAGACACGTGGAAGTCTTCTAGAATCGATAGCTGTGACGATGGTGAAGAAGCTTGGTTAGAGCCAAACAGTTCCCTGGTTTGCAGTGTCAGACAGACCGTCCAAAGTCACAATCCCAGGTTTCTGTATGATACAGCGTCAGCAGCGTCAGAGCATGTAACAGCTGCAAATGCCCTACACCCAATCAGGGTAATCGGGCTGACCGCCCAATGATGACTCGCAGTCAGGCAACACTTGTGGGGTCAGGAGCGCCACTGCTGGCTCCAATGTGCCAGGTCTTAAAAAGCCATAAAAGCCTTTTTTACAGGCTTTCCCTCGCCCTGCGAAACCCCTCCCTGACGAGTTGGCCAACCCCACCACCAATTTTTTGAGATTTCCCTGCCCCCAAGAAACCAACACCAAAAAATCAAAGAAACCCAAACCCCGCTCGCTTTCCCACAACCCCTTGCGGAGAAGGAGTTTGCGCGGCGAGTCTCTTCTTCTTCCCCTTCTCTTTTTCCAGTCTCTTTTTTTCTTCTCCTTCTTGTTCGACAGCACTTTAACGGGTTTTGATTCGCTTCAGTCGTTAATTGTTCAACATGAGCGACCCCAACGCCAACGAGGCGGAGAAGAACGTGAGCACATCTACCTCTCTCCTTCCTTACCTTGCCCAACCCTGTCTCTCGGCCGATTCCGTTGGGGCGCGCCATTTTTCGCTTCTTCTTCTTTGGGTCTGGTTTACTGATGCCGTATCATGATGAATAGATTGAGATATGGAAGGTGAAGAAGTTGATTAAGCGCCTGGAGGCCGCTCGCGGCAATGGCACCAGCATGATCTCCCTCATTATTCGTACGTGCTCACTGCCCTCTCTTCGCACATTCCCGTGTGCCCAGCCGGGCCTGGTGTGGCTGCCCGCCCGCCGATGCCTTAGCCGAACTCAATGCTACCAAGCAACATGTGACTGACTTTCTTGATAGCTCCCAAGGATCAGATTTCCCGTGCGGCCAAGATGTTGGCTGAAGAATACGTATGTCTTTTTCTGACCCTCCCTCGCACCAAGCTAACGCGTGGTGTCACAGGGTACCGCCTCCAACATCAAGTCCCGTGTCAATCGTCAGTCTGTCTTGTCGGCCATTACCTCGACCCAGCAGCGTCTCAAGCTGTACAACAAGGTCCCTCCCAATGGCCTCGTCGTCTACTGCGGTGAAATCTTGACCTCGGAAGGCAAGGAACGCAAGGTCAATATCGATTTCGAGCCCTTCAAGCCCATCAACACTTCGCTCTACCTCTGTGACAACAAGTTCCATACCGAGGCGCTTGCTGAGCTTCTCGAGTCTGATCAGAAGTTCGGTTTCATTGTCATGGACGGTAACGGAGCTCTGTTCGGCACCCTGAGTGGAAACACCCGTGACATTGTTCACAAGTTCTCGGTCGATCTTCCCAAGAAGCACGGTCGTGGTGGTCAGTCCGCTCTGCGTTTCGCCCGTCTCAGAGAGGAAAAGCGTCACAACTACGTGCGCAAGGTTGCCGAGTTGGCCGTCCAGAACTTCATCACCAACGACAAGGTCAACGTTATGGGTATTGTGCTTGCTGGTTCTGCCGATTTCAAGAACGATCTCAACGCCTCCGACATGTTCGATCAGCGTCTTGCCACCAAGGTCATCAAGGTTGTTGATGTGTCTTATGGTGGTGAGAACGGGTTCAACCAGGCCATCGAGTTGGCTTCTGAGACCCTCGGCAATGTCAAGTTCATTCAGGAGAAGAAGCTCATCGGCAAGTACTTTGAGGAAATCAGCCAGGATACCGGCCGTATCTGCTACGGTGTCGAGGATACCCTCAAGGCTTTGGAGCTCGGTGCTGTCGAGACTTTGATTGTCTTTGAGAACCTCGAGGTCACACGCTGGGTCCTCAAGGACAGCAATGGTGCCGAGATTATCATTCATTCTACTAAGCAGCAGGATGCGGCTAACCGGGACCGGTTCATGGACAAGGAGACTGGCCAGGAGATGGAAGTTGTCTCCCAGGAGTCTTTCCTCGAGTGGATCGCCGAGCACTACAAGGATTTTGGTACCACTCTGGAGTTCGTTTCGGACAGGTCGACTGAGGGCAACCAGTTCGTCAAGGGCTTTGGCGGTATCGGTGGTATCCTCCGGTACAAGGTCAACTTTGAGCAGTTGAACGAAGTGGATGACGATGATGAGTACTACGACGATTGACAGTTTGATTCCCTCGTTGATAGCGAGGGACCCGGAACTGAAGCCATCACGTCCGAGCCGGAGACACTGCATGCCGACCAGCCGCAAGCCAAGCCACGGAGCCAGGGGAAGTTGCCGCCTGCTCAGCGGCGGCTGATGAAGGGCTTTACGGCGAGCCCAGGGTCGACTGAGGTGTCGCGTCCTAGCCCGCTTCGCTCTGTAATGACGGCTTCTTAAGTTACCACTTTGCATAGGGTGGGGGTGTGTTGTCGAGGGGCTTGGTTTTTGGACACTCCTTTGTGGGGAGGTGTGCACGACAGCTCTCGAGACACCATCCATCATCATCAAGTTTGCTTCCGAGGCCTTTTTATTTTTGTAAACTGCCTCCAGGAAGAATCGAGAGGAACGAGAAGTCGGACAAGTTCGTCAAAAGGTATCACTTCATTACAGGGCACGTCAGGTCAAGGAGGAATGGTTCGGGGAAACCTTGGGGGCACGAGGCTGGACCGGATTTGAGATTTCGTTTCTGATGTTTCAATTCCGGGCCACGCGGGGTGTCTATTCGGTCTTTACTACTGTCGATTCGCGGAAGGAAAGCAGGGCTTAGATATGTAGCTAGTTTGCGGGACCCAACACTCTTTTGTCACTTGATTTTGTTCTTTTA